ACAGAAAGCTAGCTGTTGGCCAAAGCCAGGCAGTCACGTGTGGCAGAGATACAGGGCAAGGCACTGCGCGCTCAGTCATAGCCCTGAAGTGGCTGGGAACTGGAGAGTGGGGTCCCCTTTTGGGGAACTTGTACCGGAGCCTTTGCAGTGACAGAACCTTTCAGCAGTAGCCGAGTGAGAAGCGGCAGCAGAACGGTCACGAGGGGCTTGCTGACTTTCTTTTGGTATTATGGAACCTCTGTTCCATATAAAGACGCTTCCCGCGTGAAGCCAGCAGAAGGCAGAACTCGCTACTGCGCTTACTTCCCTGCCTCAGCAAGCCCGAAGAGGAAGACTACTGCTCTCTGTCCCACCTTCCATCTGAAGAAGGATATGGCCCTAGTTTGTCCATCGGTGCACTGATGGCACACCCTTCCCAAAATAAGCAAGTCCACATTATGCCTTCCATACCTGCTAGTGTTTAGATATTGTAAAGATAGTGGTCTAGGAAACATGAGCTAAAAAAAGGAGCTGGAAAATGCTGCTTCCTCCTACAGGGCATCTTCCACAATGACAGACTTTTTTTCGTAACTTTTATGTTTTGTGGCAGAGCTTAAACTGAAGAGTCATTTTTATTTCTAAGCTATGCTCCATCATGTGGCTGCTTCTACTGAAACATATAAAAGAAAAATAACTGGGTTTTGGACCCTGCCGGGTCCTCAAGAAAGTGAGAAGTTTGCATATACTGGAGCTTAATGAGGAGTATAAATACTCCTTTAACTAAAAAAAAAAATGCTTTTGGGCCCATAGCACATATAAGCACACATCTTACTTGAAGAACACATTCCATGCTGTTGTTAGGGGCAAATCCATTAAACCAGTGTATATTATGCATTGCTGAAGAGGAGGAGTGTGGCAGCTGGAAAATACTGGTATTTAAGGCACTACCTGGTAATATTTTTTATTACAGTGTATGTTACTGCTGTATGTAGGATATCAGACATGCTTCTTGGCTTTTTCATGATTCCTCTCAGGCTTTCAAATCACAAACCCAACCTCTCTGTAGATTTTCTCTGCACTGTGGTATCTCAGAGAACACTAACTTTGAGCCTGAACCAAGGAAGCGACTTTTATAGCAGGTGACTGCTCCCGGAACGTTATAGCAGTGACTTAGTTGGACCAAATGGCCCTTAACTTTTAACAGAGCCATTTCTCAATTTTCATGAAGTTGAGCATGCTGCTTGCAAAGCTCTATACGGATTAGCGTGTTAAAGCTGTTACAATAAATCACTTGCTTCAAAAATAGACCTTGTATTTAGAGAAGTCATGGAGCCAAGTTACTCCAAGCACACATCATCCCCTCAGTGTATATTTCTGCAGCTCTGTTAATATTTAATTTTAACTGTATGCTATGCAGAAGTTATTTTTGCAGAGAAAAAAAAGCTATTAAGTTACTAAGTCTGTTTCGAGCTTGCATCATAAATCAAAGAGAGGTTACCTCACTTGTGCTACAGAGCTTTGTAGCTTTGACTTTACGTGTGCAAAATTGGAAGTTTCTTCCTGGGTATATCACTTTGCAAGGTGATTAGAGATGTCGTAAGGCTCTGAGATACATTCTGCTGTTAAAGATTTCAGATACAAAATATGTATGCAAGCCTTGAGTGCAAGTCTAGGCTTCTTATGCTTCACATACTTAGTAGACAATGAATCCAGAGTTATGGCAGCTGGAAGTGTAATTCAGAGTTTGGCAAAGAATAATCATCTCTAGAAAAAACTATAAAACCCTATCACACATTATTTTTACAATGAAATATGTTTTTTCTTTCTAATTGCAACCTTAAAATACACTGGCCCAAAACTGTAATAAGACATAACATAAACCAGTGTCAACATGAAGCCATTTTTATAAGAAACAATATGGGACAAGAATGCTCAGAGAAATAACTGGTTTTGCCTGGCATCCTCTCCTTTATCACGGCACATTACTCCAACCACCATAAGCTTGTGGCTGCATTGGCTGAGGAATCATGAACAGACATTTCCAAGCATTTTCACACTATTTTGAATACACAGATCTGAATGATAACAGGCCATTTCAAAGTCAGGATGAGCCATAACATTCTTAATTCACATAAAATTGATTTATGTATTTTTTTAAAAAAAGTGATATTTTCAAGGCTGTTTTGGATTGCTGTTACTCTGGATGAGAAGCTGTAAGATGAGAGAGAGGTTGGGATGAAGGCTACCATGTGCTGTTTCACAACGTTTCACTTTCTGAATTGCAGTACCCTGCCTCTTAAAGATCCTCACATAGACAGTGCCTCTCCGGTGTATCAGGCCGTGCTTAAAACTCAGAACAAGCCTGAAGATGAAACCGAAGACTGGAGTCGCCGTTCTGCCAATCTGCAGTCTAGGTCTTTCCGTATCCTTGCCCAGATGACTGGAACAGAGTACAGTAAGTCGAATAAGAAAACATCCCCCTCATCCTGATTTTAGATTCATGTCTGTATTTTTTTACCCCAGTATTAGCAACTGATACTCGGGGAAGACTCAGGTCCGGCTTGTAGTCATTGTCAGCGAGGGCTAAGATCAGAGACACCTGGATGTAACTTGAGGGAACGAGGAAATCAAAGTGCTCAGTCTCACCTCATGCTTTATGAAGAACATTCTTTGATCTGCCAGGGGTCTCACCATAAAAGTAGAACAGTAAAAAAGCATTTGGGACCCCATGGTTCTTCTTACTTACAGATCAAATCTGTGCAGTGTAATCTTTCATTTTCCAGCAGCCTAGCAAAGCTGTCCATTCACTAGAAAAAAAGATAAACAACTTGGGTCTCTTGTAACAGTCTTTTATAGAAGTGACTTCCGGAGGTAAAAAAAAATCATGGATCACCACTTGTATTGAACCGGTGGTTGCCTATCAGTGCCATTACCTAAACCTAGATCTGCTACAAATGTCACGGGATCTGCAACTTTGTTGCCTATGGAAATGTTTTTCTGACCACCTGGTACTAACCTCAGAGCTTGTTTCTGATCTAGAGAGAAGGAAATTCAGGGAACTTTCCCACATCAGGGGGAAATACTTAGTATTTCCTCCTCAGATGAATCTGCTGCTGCCTCTCATGCTTTCCTACAAAACAGCAGGCCCTCTCTATAGAACCATTGCCTACAGCTGTGAAACACTGCTAATAAATGAACGAGAAAGTAGTTGTAACAGCAACTTTCCTACTAACATCTTTCTTCCTAGCTCTAGGGAACTGTTCCTCTTCATGCTGTGCTTACAAAATCCACAGCTGCAAAGTCAGCATGGACACACTTTTAGACAGGCTTTTGATATGTTTCTAAAGAACTTATAATTTCAGCATGAAGCCAATTCCTTCTTTTCTTTCTTTTTTAACTGAAACTTTTTTTTGCCTGCAGTGCAAGATCCGGATGAAGAAGCCCTGAGGAGGTCAAGGTAGGCAACTCCCTGTGAAAAAATATGGCTTTCTCCTTACTGATAACCAAATAATGTTTTAAAACAGTATTAATATGAATGTACGTTATTATCTTTTTGTCTTAAAATATTCTAATACATTTACCTAAAAAAATCACTAAAATCAAAATGCTATCAGTGAGAGGCACCTGAATGAAAAGGATAACAAATTATTAGCATGACTTTAGGAAAGACAGTGCAAAAATCCTGAAGTGTGTGTTCAAATCTGAAAGCTCTCTGCACATGCAACTTTTGTGTACTTTACTGGCTGTGTGAATGCAATAAGTTCCTAAGACCAAGCCCTGTGTAACTACTTGACTGTGTAACTGGATGAAAATATATAATGTTGTGACAGCACAGAAATTTGTGAGCAATTTATTTGGATGACCCTGTGATCGACATTTGATTCTCCTGAAATGATACAGTAAAGGAGTTGTTTCCATCCACGTCCATAATCATTTGCTTATGTTTTGTTTGGAATAAATACCACCCAAATTTGTAGAATATGGAAGCACAGGACTGCTTTTGCTAGTGGATAAATGTATTTGTTTCATATGATACCAAAACCACTGAAAAAATGGATATGTCCAGAGATATAATAAGGAATTAAAGACTTATCATCATGTTATGTTGTCCTACACAGCTGGGAAATAGATGTATTAGAGATTCTTATGTTGAGCTTAAAAACTGCAGTTGAATCGGAACGTCCTGCGTGCAAGCCTGATTTTCTGTTTGCATACTTCAAATCCCTATATCATGTTAGCTACTCTAAGCCGCTGGCGGGGTTTATGATCTGTTTGATAACTCAATCCACTTTATCTTCTTTTTTCTTTTTTCTATTTTTTTTTTTTTTATTATTATTATTCTTACTGCTGTGTGGCTTCTGGAAAGGTTTTGAGCTTTTGATCACAGTGCAAGTTACAAAGGTTGAATCAGTGAGAAAGATGTCTGTCATCTTCCCTGTGAAAATACAATAAGTATACTTTTAGTTTATGTTTGCTATAAACCTTCCATTGCAGTTCACCAAAGTTCATGGCTAGGTGCCTGAACATCAGGCTTGACGTTGCATCCCTCAGGGATTTATTTCTTCCCTTAAATGTGCAAGCCTAATTCTTATTAAATATATTGTGCATTATCTGTTTTGATGTAGTAGCACACATCAAAATCCTTATTATGATGGGATTTAAAGCACTGTGCTGAACTTAACAGTCCCCCATACACATCTGAGAGTAATATGTTTTTTTAAAGAAACAGTCTTTCTAGCTGTAGTCTGTGGCTTTGGAAAATACTAGATATTGAATCTTAACATAGTTATTTTCAACATATCTGATACCATCTAGTAACACATCAACATATGCGAATTGCACGTTCTATTCAGTGTAACATAAGGTACGTGACCGTATCTACTGTGCTTTGCACATTTTCTTACAGTTTTGAGATATCACTGTGTCATCCTTTTTTTCATGAGGACCGTTATGGTTATGAGTATATTTAGGCACAGCTGTATTACCTAAAGAGGTTTAAGGGCATTCATTGGTAGTAGAGGCAGAAGGGAGTATGTACTAGGTAGTTACAGGGGTACAGTGCAACCGGCATGAGCTCTGCTGCAAGGAATGGAACGGGCTCTCCTTCCTCCCTAACTGGTAGTGCTTGTCCCATCTTGGTGGCTTGGTCCCTACCTCAAATGTTGCGCAGGCTCTGCTGCAGGTTTGGTAGCAGCAGCCCTGGTTCCGCAGGCATCCGTCACATAGGACTCTTCTGGGCCTGTTGGACCCTTTCTGTTTAATCTTCTGGCCAGGCCCCCTCTTGATTTTGTAAAGGATGGAAGGACCTATGTCAGATGCACAGAATCCATACTTTAACTCCGTTCTTCCAGCACGATAATGGAGTAGAAACTCCTCTTCAGTATCTGCTCCAGATAGCCTGTACAACCACACCTTTCTCCATGCCCGTGGTTTGGGATCACCTGGAAGGCTTCCTGGGCTCCTGAAAGCAAAAGGTTTCCATGGAACTGTGGAACCTGAGTCTTGCCAGATTCACTGTTGCATTAATCCCGTGCTGTGCTGGCATTTTGGAAAAATCGTTCATGTTCCAAAGCTTAAACTGCCAGAGTTTTCACAGTGTGGGGAATTTTGGTCTCGCGGCATGCTGTGAGCGATCTCTCTCTGGTGCTTTCTCATGTCTCTCTGTGTCAGCTCTTCAGCGTAGTCAGCAACAACTTCATGAAATGGTGATCAAGTTTCTTCCAAACACTTGGGGGGAAAAAAAAAAAATACATGTAGCTTATTTTTGGCCCAACTGTTTTACATAATAGTAACTTCTAGATTGCTGCTTCTAACTTCATGATATATGCTCTGAACAGAACCCATAAAGCTGGGAATTTTCAGGTGGCAGAATATTCCTTTCCGTTAACATTAATGAGCGCATTGCATGACTGTCCTTTGCTTATGCTGCTGCTATTTGGAAGGCACACATAAGATTATAACTTGCTATGAAAACTTTCCATTGCTGTTGTGATGATTGTTACAGAGTATTTTCCAGAAAGATGGTCTCCATTTCAAGCCAAACAGATGTTTCTGAAAACCTTTTCCTTGAATGGAGGGGTATATCTTTAAAGCAGTAAGGGAATTCCTGAATTTCATGTAAGACCCACTGTAGCTAGTATGCTCCAATGTAACTTGAAAAAATGCCATTGTGAAGTTTCAGCATTTCAGCTAGGAATACTTGATATCTTTTAATTACTTAAAAGCACAAAAGATAGCTTGAGAATTCATACATCAAGACTCCTTTAGGAGTGTTACTTGCATGACGCTGTGTTGTTAGGAACAGAAGACGTAAAAATATCAGTGAATTTGTTGGCATTTACTCTGTTTATTTTTTTGTGCTTTCTTCAGCCTGAGGAGTAAAACCAGCCCATTCTGTTAATTTCTGTTTGGCTGGTTTCACTCTCAAGTTCCATTGCATTAACACAATTGTCTTGTGTTTTGGGTGTAAATAACGAGGGGAAAATTACCTTGTTTGCAATGAATCAAATATGTTTTGCAAATTAACATTTTATTTTCCATTCTGTTTGATATACTTGTCCTTGACTGTGCTCTCGTCCCACATCCTCCTCCTTCCCCTTTTTATTTACAAAACCTGAATTTCAACTGTAGGACATCTAGAAGAGATTAAATACTGAGAGGTGCTGAACGTTGCTTACAACTTGCTCCAGTGCCCCAGCCTGCAGTCAAAGGTAGCTAGGGGGGTTCGCAGGAGGTGGCCAGTACTTCACAGGACTGATTTTCAAATCCCATGTTACTCTGCTTTTTGACACAAACGACCAGAAATATTTATGCAAATGTCAACACTTCTACTCGCTTATGCTGAGAGAAGCTATAGGAAAGCACTGCTGAAACCTGTGGCTGATGGTCCTTACAGGAAAGACGGCGGGATAAATATAGGCTGACCTAGGTATTACAGAATGGAAAATATATGCATTAATTTTGCGCTCGTATGGAGTTCACTTTCACTGACTGCTCAGGTTGGGGAGGTGGGGAAGCCGAGAGAATCCGCTGGCAGGAAAACAATGGGATTACACTGTGTTTCTAGCAAAAGCAGCCCTGTAATACCAAGCACAAGTCAAAGAATATGAAGTTATATCGAGTTACTTCTCAGAAATTAACAATTACAAAACCTTTCATATATGTCCAAAGAGGATCAAAGCCGCCTTTGTGCTGATTTGAAAGCCGAGGAAAAAAAATCCAAATAAATTGCTGTTGCCCTAGTTATAAGGCAGGGGAGTGGTAGCCATGATCCCTAACCCCTTTCTTTCTCCCTCCTTTCTTTCTTCTCTCTCTGTGTGTGTCTCTCCCTCTGTCTCTGTCTTTCTCTCTCTCTTTCTTCATGCCACAGGGAAAGGTTTGAAACGGAACGTAACAGCCCACGCTTTGCCAAATTGCGCAACTGGCATCACGGCCTATCGGCGCAACTCCTTAATGTTAAAAGTTAAAAGCCCACATTTAGCAGGCAAATACACGAGATAGAGATTTGCAGTAAAAAAATTAACTGCTGTCCTGTGTTAGAGCCTAAGAGTGACACACATGGGACAGACTGACTGCTAGGGCCTTTCTCTGAGTGCCTGTCTGCTGTAGATTTCCGCTGTTAGCCTGGCAGCCATTCACTGTCACCAAAAGTAAAAACAACTATACAGCCCAGCTCAAGGGTTGTTGGGGGTTGGACTAGGTGACCTTTAAGGTCCCTTCCAACCCAAACTATTCTATGATTCTATTCTATGTTCTTCATTACAAAGTAGATTAGCTTTTGTCGTTTGCTATATCAAATGTAACTTCAGTAAACAGGAAAGCATCACTATTGTACTCTCTTGACTTTAATTCTGGAAAAAAATGAGAGGGAAGTTATTGACAGTATTTCTTTAGGAGGAAGATTACCGAGTTTTACTGCTGTAAAGATAATTAAGTAGTAGAAAGAGCAGTGAAAAGGAAAACTGACTGAGCCTGGCCTAGACTTTGCTAAATGTAAAACATGCTTAGTTTGCATAGTTGAATGATGCCATTTGAAATAAGGTATTAGTAACATGAAGTTATATTTGTTTGATATATTATACTGGTAGAAGTCATTTGGTAAAACTGTCGCTGTAAGTTTTCTGTTGGAAACCCGAATTTGTCATTAGATGAAAGCTAGAGATAGCCGCGGTTGCTCAGGATCTGTGAGGAAATGACGTTTTGCTAGAGGTGATTTAGGACTGGGAAGAATATATAGTACTTCTAGTGCACTGAAGTTTTTAAAAGCATCTTGTAAGTTTTAAGGAATATGTTGCCCATTCTTTCTGTATTGCTCTTGCTTTGACCCACGTTTTTTTCTGTATATAGCAGCATGCTTTATCTGAAATAAAAGGTTTTAAAACTAAAATAATTATGTGCCTGTTTTACACCATACTTTATTCTGTTTTAAAACAATAACTGCTTCAACTGATTATTGAA